GCATTATAACTAATGTCATGAAAGTTTTCTTTTTTAATCACATAAATAACTTTGCGGATTGTAAATTACTACAGAATGACTAGAATATTTGGGACAATAGGCAAAATAACGGCGATTTGAGCACTCGAAGGGTAAGCAGTTTTCTAAGCATTAGAAGAATATTTCCAAAGCTTTTTAGAATAGCTTAATGCTTTCGAGGAAACTCTTGCTCCTTTAATTTTGATGTTTATAGAAGTAACTATCAGTGGATAGAAGTGGTACTGATGATTTAAGCGAAAGCTAAAATAGAAATACGTGCTTTGAGTTTGCAGAAAGTATTGTGGAGTATTTAAACTTTTATATATTTATTAATTTTTTTAAATTATTTTTTAAGTTTATCAAACATTAGAAGAATATTTTCAAATTTATCTAGAATAATTTGGACTTGGTGTTCTGGAGGAAATTCTTGCCAGCTTTGATTTTGACGTATATATAGGGAATTAGCATTGGATATGTAGTATTAGAAGTTTAAGCGGAGCAAAAATAGTATTACGTGCTTTGACTATCAATTAGAAAGTATTCTGGAGTATTTCTAACCTCAGAATTTCATATTTTTCCCCCTATAATTGTCAATAGATGATCTTGATTATGCTCCTTGAGTTAATTAGATTCCTCCAACAGTATAGTAATTGCAGCATTGTTGCATTACTGTTAGATAAAGGACTCTCACTGATCCTATCTTTACCCGTTGCTTGATATGATTGCATAAAACCCACATGTTGTTGTTCTAAGAGACCATTTGGTGCCCACGACAAAATTTCAAGAATGTAAATTCCTTGATGGAATGGAAACAATATATATTACCAGAAAGACCGAAGGTCAGATTTTGGAGTAATAAGAAATAAAACAATTCTTCAGGAAGAAATCTTCATTATTTTCTGAGATTTGTATCTGATTGAAAAAGGAAACTTTTTTAAACACATGGAATTTTTTTATCTTTTGTTTTATTTATTCATTTATTTCCGCATTTATTTATATATTTTTAAAAGAGAGAAACGCACAACAAATTTTCGTTCTTTTTTTCAAACTCTGAAAGATCAATCATCACGCCTCCAACAACTCAAAAATGAGCAAGCCTATCAGCAAGCCGAACGGATAACACTAATCATTCTACCCCAGCAGAAATACACGTGAACGGTTGGTTGTAAGGCATCTTCGTAGATTTCCCCATGCATTAATTTAAATACGAAATAGCTTCGCTCAGAAAGTCGTCAACGATGACATCTCTCCCCTTAGGCAGGTAACCCTAGAGTACGTTAACATAATTTAATAAATTCAATCTATTCCATAGACTCAGTGGATGATTTTAAAACGCTCTTAATTACATAGCACCTTTAGCAGTCTTCTAGTGGGCCGAGCAATCTGTAAGGTTCTGAGATGATTTATTATCTTCATATTTATTTCTAACATTTATACAATTTTATTAAGCATTATTTCAATAGTTATAAGCTTTTATTTGCTCATGGTGTTTCACTATGAGGGGGATTTTTTCATGGAATTTAACTTACTTCCTGATAATGTGCCAAATTCAAATTTTGTCGACATACGCACTTTTAATCGATGAAAATACAATGCGGTAAAGGGAAATCTTTCAATATTTAATTTAGATATTTTTTAATTTGATGTTTAATAGGTTTTTCACACATGTCTTCGTTTAACAAACAAGCTAAAAATATCAGAATTTTACTGTTTGCACCATCGCATATAGTTAAAAAAAAATTTTTTTTTCAATGAAACTTGTATAGAAATTGTAATTTAAATTCTGAAATTTTGAAAATCGTTCGATGTTTTAAACTATTCGACGTTTATGATTTTAAATTTCAACATCTAAAAATGCACTAAAAATAAAGTTTTGAAATCGCTGATAATAAAACAAATTTTAAAATTTTAAAACAAAAATGATAAAAAAGAGCGACATTCTGCATTAAAAAAAAATATGTTGCAGTCTGAAGCAGATGGGAAATAAAAACAGTTTATCGTTTAAAAATTGCTTTCGAAATTGCCACCCTTGGCACACTTAATATTGAAGTGGTGATATTCCTTTTTTATATTCTTTTTATTGATAACACAAAACACAAAATACACACACAAAAATCACAAAATAAAATACAATTAAAAATGTATTTATACAATAAGCTTTTATTATTAAATGGGTATGATAATTAATGCACTAAAAGGAAAAAATAATTTACCATATAATTTAATGGGAATAATAGAATTATTTGTGATTTTAATATGGCGAAGAATAAAAGCGTTGGGCGCTTATGATAAATATGAAAAACGGTAACCGCTTATACATTCGAAGAAATGCAATTAAATTAAAAGAAAATTAAAAAAGATAATGGCTTATACATTTGACAATGCAATTAAATTAATAGATTTCAGTGATTAGGGTTTCCACGCCTTTATATGAAATTTCTCCACTCCCATATGGAGCTCCCCTCTATCTGATGCTAATTCCTAAATTTTTGTCCATTACCCCTAACGACCGATTAAAGCATAGGATAATATTTGAAGATTAAATTAATTCGCAAAATGCTAAATAACACATTTATTATCATTAAGACACTAAAAATGTTTAAAATTAGGACCGATTTATTCAAATTACGGCAGAGTACCGCAGAACTATCTGCCTAAGGGGAGGAAAATGTCATTATGGGAATTTTTTCTCTGTAAACTAGCTCGTATTCACGTTACATATGGGAGAATAACAAAAACCAACTATGCAGCAATCCCAATCACTCAAATTTAAATACAGGTCAAACTACCAGCATTAGCGGTTTTATCCTTTCAGACATTAGTGGTCCACATTAAAATGTTAGGAATATTATATTTACGTATCACATAAAAAATATTTTGGAACAATAAGTTTCGGTTTTTGCAAAGCAATATAAGTCAGACATGTCATCTCATCTGGATTTGCCATATGTTAAAGAAATACCATTTACTTATGAATTCACAAAATGAATATTTATAAAATATCGTTCTTCAGTAATGACGTATATATGTAAAGGAGAGGCTCATTATCACTAACGCAAATTATCGATCCAAACTAAGAAGAAGAAGGTTTTTCTTAGTGCATCATAGAGAAGGTTTTTTTTTCCTGCCCTCAAAAGTATTTCTATCATTTTATAAAAATTTTAAGGTTTACGATTTTGAAGGATTTATTAAAGATAAGAAATATAACATCTGTAATAAGAAGCACATTACGACAATATCATATTCTGATTGTAACACATAGTCATCTGTAAATTGGTGTTTATTTAGAAGGGCTCCATTTTAAATGATTGGATTTTAAATGATTGGATAACTGTCTTGAAATATATAGTCAAAAGTTTTCACATTATATTTGCATATATTGTAAATTCCAGAGCAGTACCTTCAAAAAGTTAAAAGCTGTTGAGGGAATAATAATCCGCGATAGAAAAATGGGTGAAGAATCTAAAAACATTTTGAATGTTTGCTATATTATTAATATTTTACTTCAGTTTTTCATTTGATGAATTGCATTGCCAGTTGTACACTGAATAACGGTTTGGTTTCTTATTCAATACAGGGCTATTTCGAGTATTGGGAACATAATGGCTGGTTTCATTTCATATAACCTTTTTTTTTTTTTTTTTTAACTAAACTTCGCAGTGAGCTTTCGGTTTTTCCATAGCTGGGAAACGTGAAAGTCAGCTGCACCCTCGCGGGGATTCTAAGCGCATATTTTCTAGTTTAGCTTTACGTGCCAACCACTTACATCACCAGATAGCGCATGGTAGAATGAGTTAATTCCTTACATCATTGTCCACTTAATAAGAGGCTAAAGACAGATATCAGACCCAGTTGATCAAATCCAGTGGTAAGGAATAATTGTCCCCCACACTTTAGCACGGAAACCATTGTTCATCGAAGCCCGGATTAGTAATTAAATTAAGTAACAGTTGCCATAGATCTTCCACTTGTTAGCTAGCCATTTACAGCACGACTGTACGCATTAGATATTGTGATAATTCTTCACAGTTTCATATGCCGAAAAACTCATTAAGATAAACGAGAAATCAAATAACTTAAGAATTATTTTTTTTATCCCCAAACTAATGAAAAACAAATAGATAAAGTTTATTTATATTTTTCTCTGATCATATTCCTCCCATAGTGTAAAGGTCTGGATATTCCCTCGCGAATATGATGTCCCAATGTATTTTTGCTTAACAATTACCTGTCGGTTTTTGTAAACATTACAACAAAGAACACCTGTTATAAAGTACCTCAGTTATGTCTTATTATAAAGTATCTCAGCTCTAATCGTTAATTATGTACCTGTATTGCATTATTTAATTATTGCAGTCATGATAGTTAAGTTATATAAAATAAAATTTTTGTTTTATATAACTTTAGTTTCATAATCTGTATTAAAAATACCCACAGTAAAATCTTAATTATCTGACTTAAACGGGATTTTACTGAGATCGAATAATTAGAAATATTGGGTAACATGATGTATTATTAGAGACAGAAACCGAAAATCCCGATCTGAAATAAAGCAGCATAAGAGAGCAGATTTTACTAAAAATAAATTATTACATTTACAAATACTGCTGAGTTTCAGTAATGGTATTTACTGTACATCAAAAACAATGCATCAACAGTGTCTTCTATGGAGAAATTTTAGAAATAACTTTGACAGTAAATCACGTTAACTGTTTCTTGACAAATCTTTTCCTTGCAAAACAAATTTTAAACTAATTTAACAGGGAAATACTGACAGAAATTTCTAATTATTATAATTAGTTATCTTCAAAATTTTTCTTCCTTTGCAAAATATTATTTTATGCTAAAAAACAGAATCGAAATTTTTCTTAAATTCAATTAAAGATAAATTTCGGAAATGCCCTTAAGTAAATTCATAAAAGACTTCAAAAATTAAATACATAAAGTGCCAGCTTAGTATGAAGTATTAATTCAACACTTACGGAGATTTCTTGGGAAGACGCTTACACTTTGACAGCAGCCAGGACTATCTGAAATCAATTACTCTCTTCCGATGAAAGACTTTCTTCTATAAAGCATATTGATCCATCCGATTCCTATTGACAGGCAAATTACCTTCACAAAGTTTTTTCTTGGTATATTCTTGGCATCTCAGTGTTCTACGAAACAAATACGAATAATCGTCTGGTAAAAGGCACTATTTTAGAATTCCGAAGATGGCAGTCGTTGACTCATAACTGCGGCTAGCCAACAATAAAAGCTGTCATATTTCGCCTTGGAAGTCAAATTTATGCTTCTTTTGTGACAAAACGAATTTTTGAGAGCTCGTTTCAGCAACCCCCGAAGGTCAGTGTTACCAGGGAAACGAAATAACTGGAGGCAATAAATTGAAGAAAGTTTCACATAGATGGGAAGCTTTAGGTTTCGGCTGGATTTATGCTTGGCGAAGTGCGCCAATATGTGTGAAGATGCTCTGGTAGCGAAGTGCGTAATGGAAGGAAATGCATTCCTCGATTTTTTAGTTTGGCCACGCTTTGGTGCCTAAATTATGTTTCGTGATGGCCCTGGAGACTTTTATGCTCCCTCTTACATCACCGATTGTTTTTGGCCAGTGAAAAGCAGCGACTTTACGCCTATTCTGGTAGGATTTAAATCCATCCTCCACTCTGGAACTTACAGTTTTGATTAATTCATAAACTGTGACATATGTGTGAAACACCAGAAAATGTTGGAAAATGTAAAGCAGAAAAAGTGTTTTGACAGTTCTATTGTCTTCCAGCATATCAAAGAAAATAAATACATTCTATGAATCAATACAAAAAAAAATCATTGAAAAAAAGAAGTAAAATCTGCAAGTGTTTAGATTTAAACAATCACCCAAAAGGGCTTTTAAAGGTTTTTTACACTGTCGCTGAATTCGCAGACTACCAATCTGCTGTTGCACTTACTCCTGCTAATCCATTTGTTTTTAAAAATCTTTTTAGATTTATTATTAAGCACCATTTCCTTTGCACTTATGCCAAATACAGTTCAACAGCAAAATTTAAAAAAATTTAAAAGCAACATAGCAGCATATGTTTAGAATTCCCGATGAAGTGCTGGCATACATTTTTATATATTTTTCAATCTTTTCTCAGTTCATCATACCAATGTTCAGTCTTCTTAGTAAAATGGCGTGAAACACTTTTCCTGTCCTTTTATTATTAACGTTATGTGTGTTAAATTTAATAATTAAATTTAATAATTAACGCTATTTGCACTTACAATTCAATTCAACAGGAAAATCACAAAATATTTAAAAACAACATATTTCTAGAAATTCCGAGAGAGAGTCTCGCGCGCTGGAGATAAAAATGCTTTATTCTGCACAGTATTGCCACAGCTAACTTTTAAATCGTTGAATCTGTTAATCAAAAATTCATTAAAATTTTACTAAATACGAAATATAAAAGTCGAAATTCAAAATTCGGCCTTCCAGGTGCTCATGTTCGGGTGAAGGACTACGTTTCTCAAAATTAGATGACCCTAGATACCGTCGTTTTTTTCACAGTGCAAGGAACATACATACATGAAGATTCTTCATTATTTAATTTCTTGTAATACAAGGTGATAATATTTCGGGGCAACAATTTGAAAAGTGATTCGTCGTTTATAGTGGGCGACGCTAAATCCCGTTTAGAGATTAACAGCAAATATTCTTTTTAAAAGAGATGGAGTAGAAAATTGACTTCATTTGTAAACAACTAAAGTATATTACATAAAGCATACAGTGGATACGAAAATTTAGAAATGTCCATCTGAAACTTATCTTCTCCCACTTGCCAGTGTAATTTGATTATGCGATGTAATAGATCAGATTAAATCCTCAAAAATTCTGTCCAAAACATGTCAAAGACTAATGCACTAAGTGTCAAAACATTATAAAAATAAGTTCCATTAACGTGGCGATGGGGGATTGCCAAAATAATAAATATTCGCGTATTTAATAAATGAATTAAATAAAAAATACATATATTTACGGAAAGTTACAGCCGCCCAACTGGAATTGTGGTTAGTGACTCTGACTGCCGTTCCGAAGGGTCAGAGTCTGAATCGCGGAGAAGACATGAATGTTTGTAAATGTATAGTGTCTATACGGGATAAGGCCACTCTAAATATGCGGCGAGCCGAAAGTCCTCTCGAGAGGCTGGTGTTAGAAAAAAGAGGGGTAGGAGACCTTTGGACTCGTCCGGGCGCTCCGGGTCGCTCTCTCTCAAAATTGGGGCGGAACTGAGTTAAAGTCGGGCTGTTCCCCATGTGGTACTCAAAGCTCTTGCCAGCGATAACTGCATTTCACTTCTTCCCACGATGATTGTCATAGCTTTTACTGGCCAGTGTCAGAGAAATGAGATTGATAAGAACAACAAAAACAAAATGTACAGTTCACGGACAGCAGTAATAACAACGAAAATTCTTGAACTGTAAATATCTACTAGCACCTTTCTTAAACTTCCAGTTTATGTTTCTAACTTAGGCTTTGCGCAGGTAGTATGTATTTTGTGTCTAATTATTGCGTATTATGTTTCACATTATAATAAAACCCAGTTTAGGATTTATGCCTAATTATGAAAGTTTTATCGCCCAAAAGAATTCACTTAAAACTGATACCAGAATTTCTCTACCCTTGCAATGTCGTACTCCATGCATTAACAAATTTTCTCTTCACCTTTTCAAATTCTGATAAATGGGTTTCAGCCTATCACCCTATCAATCAAATTCTTGAAAGCTTTCTTCCTTTTTAAAAAGAAAACCGTTTTTCTGGAGGAAAAAGAAAGAATAAACTGGGTTTTATAATCACGTGGTCAACTTAGTGACCTATTGTCGACCACCTACACCAATCTTCATTTCGTTCAGTCAATGGACCATAGAAGACGGAAGATTTTTCTTTTTTTTCTTTTTTTTTTGAACGTTCAAAATAACAGAAAAGAATTATTAATGGAGGAGTGAAGAAAGCGCAATTGAAAAACGGAGTGTGACTTTACTTGTCTTTCGACAACTGATTAAAAGGGTTTTATTTTTCTTTCTCTTCTAGCGTCTCTATAGTTACCGTCTCGTGTTGCACGTTTTGGACATCCATCAAGCTTTGTAATCTGTCAGAATAAATTATGCTATTAATTTCTTCACCCATGAATAAGAGATAATGTGTTTAAGGAAAAGGTAATCGTGGTGACAGGATATTTTCATGCTTTATTAGCTTTAAAACAAATAGTATGAGACAAATTGATTTCTCGGCAGGAGCCGCAACTTACTTCCATTGAATTTACTTTGAGTTTTGAACTAAAGAATAATTACTGAAAAAATTATGCAAAATAACAGCAGTGTGTAAATACTGATTAGTTTTTGCGTTTTAATACCACGGGGGGGGCACCACATTTTAAGAAATATAAAATCTTCTAGTCGCGTTGTTAATTCTAGAATGGTATCTATATGCTGAATTGCCGTGTACTAAACTAAGAATATTATATTTAATTTTAAAATGACTGACATTTAATTTTAGAAACATTTGCCCCGTTATTGTAACTATTAAAAATGTTGTAAGTATAACTGTGTGAGTGTGTGTGGGGGAGGATAACATTCACATGCCAACGCGAGAAACATTTGCCATAAACTTACAGATTCTAAGATTGAAATGTCTTGGAATAAAAAATCTGATGTGGAGACAACTTGACTTCCTTGTGCAGCCTATTAAATTATGCGCATGTTTTTGCTACACTTCATTTAAACTTATTTTGTCGAATTATTCTAATTTAATTAACCTACTCGTCAAGGGAAGTTGAATATGATATCAAAAACTGCAAATTTTGGAATTAAATATTCTGCTAATTTTTTGTCGTACGGGAGCCAAACTTCTTATAACTTTATTTTTCATAACGAGTATAAAACGTTCCGAAATGTAAGTACAGGAACCGTGAGACCGCATTAAAAGTTAGATTTCGCTATTTATCGACAGTTAGTTTTTATAAGTCCAAATGGGCTTTGTCGCTGAGGGACTATTGTTTTCGTTTTGCTAATTTGCGTCGAATCATTCTGAATGTCCGTTTCACTTTTCAAACTGCTGCCATTAAATATTATCGCCCTGTATTATATTTGAAGAAATCAAATAATGAAGAAACTGCATAAATGTATGTATGTTTCTCGCATTGGGATAAAACGACGGTACCTAGAGCCATCCAATTTTGAATGACGTAATCTTACTGCGAATATGGGCACCTGGAAGCCCAAATTTAAAATTTGGAATTTGTTTTATTATCGATTTCATATTTTGTAAAACTTTAACGAATTTTTGATTAACAAACTCAAGGATTTCAAAGCCAGCAATAGCAAAAAAAAAAAAAAAAAAAAAAAAAAAAAAAAAAAAAAAAAAAAAACCGGCCCTTTTGGACTAATTTAAAATTTGAAACCTTTCAGATTTTCTTTTTTATTAATTTATTAATTTTTATTTTGACATTGTTAAAACATGAATATTATCATCCTTTAAAACACTTCTGTAACTGGAAGTATATGATTACGACCAACGACTGCAAAAATAAAAGCGAAATAAGGACTTGCAAGCCATATAAGGGAGTGGGAATATTTGTATACATAATATTTTTGTCATTTGCTGATTGCAATAAAAAAGGTAGGTGCACAAAAAGATGTTATAGCAATCCCATACACAAAATTTAAAGTTCTGCGACTAATTGAGTTACGTGAGATACCTATATATGTAGTGACGTTGCGAAAAAAATCCCTTTTGAATTCATTTTAAATCAATTTTACAATCCATTTTGGAAAAAAGAGTCCTTTAATCTGTCCATACATACAGATATGATATCCAAAAGTTTTCGGGACTACAATACTTCCTTTATTTCGTACAAGTATAAGGATGTAAAAAACAAAAACAATAATTTAAAAATTTCCTTTACTTTTGAATTATTGATTTCCCATAAAGAACCTCATTATGCTAAACTATAGGGATATAGGACGAAATGAGATTTTTTCAAACTAAGGTGGCAATTATTGGATAATTTTATCAAAATGCAAAAGCCATTAATTATGATGAAGTATTTTTTGTTCAATA